ATGCTTAGCAAATACTTTTCAAAACAAAGCGAAGAGAAGCTTTAACAAAACATTATAACATAGCTTTATTAAAAATACCACTCACTTGGTTCTTCAATGTAGGGGTCAAGCGAGAGTCCAAGTCCTACAAACACACGGCAAGGTCTATTGAATGCATCTTCAAACAAGCTTTACATGGATGCAAATGATCTCAGCATTTCTTCAAAACTAAGTCGAACCAAGACAAAACACTGTTTCTCCTTTCGGGAAACATGCTGGGTACCAACCAGGCTATTGCCGAGGTCCCACACCTTCTTTTGATTCAAAATAGATTTTCCAAAAGATTTGTCGGATTTGGACTCTTTGGTGTTTATTTATTTCACATTGCACTTGTGAGATCAGATTCAGAACCGCAGGAGTCCGATACTGTAGGGCTTATATCATCTTCCGAAAGGGGACATGAAAAGCCGAGCTACAGTTTCTGGCGACTCTGCTGGGGACTTAGAGAACTTGACTTAAAATTCATGATGTGAAATTTTATCTACACTTATATGTTCTTTGCATTGTATTGGCATTGGTGCGCTTCAGTCACTGTATTTGTCATCTGTTATTCCTGAACGGTTTGTCGGAGGCTTGCCTAAAAGCTTGCCAAAAGGCTGACCAGTCATGGGCTCTGCCATGATGGAACACAACCCTTGGATCTGGACTATCGTTGTACCATTTGATCCTTATTTCACTTCTCAATGTGAGGTGTGAAAGGTATATTAGTTAGTCTTGCTGAAGTACCTTTCTGACCATTCGGCCTAGTTACATATTGGAAAACCATAGAGACTGTTCGAAACTATGACAAAATGCTCACCCGAATATAGGATTGCATGAAACTGCTTTGTTTGAATAGTAAACCCTAATTCCTGACGAAACTAGTACAGGGTAACCTTACCCCCTCTTAGGGGTGTTTTGGCTCTCACTTAACTGGTATGTGCTTTACAGTGAAACTGTACAGGAATGTGCGTATCAGTTGCAAGTTTGGTATCTATTTTGGGGGTAGAATTCAGTGTTGAGTGCAGCCCTACAACTTTGATTACATCTGTGTTGGTAACATCTTAGCTAAGGTGTTGTGCGGTTTCTGATTACTACTTTCTTTTTGCTTTATTTCTTTTTGCTAGGTAGTTTATCACAACAGCTTCAGAAAGCTCGGATATCTCCCAAGTACTCTGGACCTGAGTCAGAAGGCTTTGCAAAGCCAGGGATCTAGTTCGCGGACATCCCATGTTTACTTTACTCCCACCGGTTACAAGACAGAAGAGAATTAGATAGAATTCACCGATTCAATTTTTTACAGCAGTCACCCCTCAATTCACCTGTATCCAGTCAGGTTCAGGGACAGTCTTCTACTTTTAGACCAAGACAAGAATCTTATTCCAGATAAAACGAGTCGGGAAAATTCACTAATACAAGCTTATCAAAACAAGATTATACAAATGCTCATGCTCACGGCTAAGGTGGGTGAATGAGGGTCACTACAGTCTTCTACTTTTAGTCCAGCATGAGATCACTCACCTATTCCGATGACACAGTATCCTCCGGTCAGGATGGAGGAATTGATCCATCATCTTCAGCAAACAGTTGAAACCCTACAGCAAGATGCTGCTCATCAGGCCGAGGTCACAGCTCGTCACGCCGAGGTAATAAACATGCTACAATAACAGCAGCCGCAACCGGCTGCAGCCTCTGCATCCCATGCACCTCCCATGGGTATCCCTACATGCGGAGCCGCTGCCCATATTGCTAATGTCTAAGAAAATCAGGGCAATCCAGCAGAGCCGATCCCAGCACAAGCCTCCAAAGTACCTGTGTATCAAACTGAAGCACCATTTGAGTTTGAGGTTGACCTAACTGTACTCAAGGTCAACAAACTGGAGAAGTTATTCAAAAGAGCACACGGTGTTAACTCCATCCCGGACATAGAGGACGAATATACCGACTTTGCAATGACATTGCCAGATCGGTTCAAAATGTCGCACATCGATTGATTCGATGGCTTCGGAGATCCAATGGTTCACCTTCGATTGTTTTCGGACATCTTGCAGTCGATGAGCCTGACTAGACTACAAAAACTGTCTCTCTTTAGCCAGACCATGTCAGGAATAGCAACCATATGGTATGCAAAGTTGGAGGATTCTGTTAAGCAGAATTTGGAGGAAATGGTCGAGGCCTTTATTGCTCAGTATTCGTATAACATGCAAATCGAGGTCACAACCCGTGATCTCGAAGCAACACACCAAGAGCAGAATGAGGGCTTTTTTGAATTTATGACAAAGTGGAGAGCTAAGGCTTCGATGATGACCACAAGGCCTTCTGAAAAGGATTAGATAAGAATGGTAGTCTGTAATCTGCACGGGAAGTTGTTACAGAAGATGATTGTCTTACCTCTGTTCATATTCACCGAGCTCCATGAAATGAGGGTGCAGATTGAAGACGCCATGAAACAAAAGCTGATTACAGATGAGAAAGAGTAGGCAAAAAGGCCTTTTGTGCGCAATTCCAATGCTACCACCAATGGTAGCACAAATGCGAGGCCGTCAGATGTGAGTGTTATCACTACCGCAACCAAGACTGCCAATCTCTTTGCCAACACAGCTCCACAAACTTCAGCCAACCCTACCCAATCCCAGAGGACCTTTACCTAACTCTACATGACCCTATCATAAGCCATGAATTTGCTAGTCAAAAAAGGGCACCTCAAACCATTAGAGCCCCGCCCCTTACCTGATCCTCTTTTACCTAAACACAACCCCTCAAAACACTGCGCATTTCACTAATAGTATGGTCATGATACTGACCAATGCTTCCGATTGCGTCACGAGATTCAAGACCCCATTGACGACAAGGTGATCGCACCACCCTAGAAACCAAATGTAACCACAAACCCACTCCCGGCCCATTATTAAGCTCCTCTACCTCAAAATCTAAACCTGATCCATATACTGGCCATCCCCTACAACCCCAACGTATATATTACCCCTTCCCGCCTTCGAAGACCGACGTTGTTCATTCCTGAAAGTACAAACTTGTGCATGATGGACACATCCACACTTCAACCTAAGCCTGTGGTGGTGACAGTTGCAGCAGAAGGAAGGTCGATTTTAGAGGAAGGTAAGAGTCCGTTGTTAGGGAGTTTTGAGGACTTACCTAAAGGGGTGTACGATCCAAGTTGCTACATGGTTTTAATGCTGAAGTGCGTATTTGGACAATAGTATCCCCAGACTATGAAATTTTGCATGCTGTTGAATCAGAATTATCTAGACAAGCGTGTAACAGTTGAATACCTGTTGAATGTAGCCAATGGGAAGTTGCTATCTTGTCTTTTTGTTGAAGGTCTTCTTTGGTACCATTTTATTGAGGGGATTTTGCTCTGTGATAGAATTTGCAAGCTGATGCACAGTGGAAAAATAAGAAGAATATCTAATCTGGATTTTTCTTGGATTCCTGTATAATCTGAACTTAACTGAGTATGTAGCTCTTGACAGAGCAAAATGATGAAAAAGATTCATGTAGCTGATCCTACTTGATTGGAACCCAATGCTTAATTGGGATTGGTTTGGTTTGGAGTTGGACTGTTTTGGCAATTTCATACTTTTGGACATAGGTTGTAGTATGGGTACATGGACCGTTCTTGATTACAAATGATTTTTTTTTTACTGGTTTTTGTACATGGTCTATATTAGTTGGTGAATATTCTAGCTAGTCAATGATTTTAGTTTTATGTTCTGGAATTAGATAAAGTTAGTAGAGCCCAATAGGAGTTTCTTTTTCTAAACCCATGACAAGCTTTTGCAGCTTTTTGTGATGTATTAGCCTTTACCCATTGCGCTTAATTTCAAAAGAATTCTAAGTGGATCCTAGATTTTTCTTCTTTATCCATTTCTTTTCTTTCTCATCTTCTTTTGAGTTACCATCCATAAGAGGCTCTGGTGTATAGAGAAGACCTTACTGTTCAATAAATTCAAGGCCAATAAACAGCCCCTAAATTATGCCAAAACTATGCTCTAACAAGCTAATTAGAATTTGTAATCATGTCCTTGTAGAAAAACTAAGGTATAAAAAACGTCCCAAAATCTTTTGCTAGTTTGTGCCGAATCTTATGATTCTAGATTTGATCCAATTCACAATTCTTAAAATTACTATTTCAATTCAAATATCACAATGTGATTCTCAATCTGACAACAATGCTTTCAGTAAATAATACATTAGAGAGAGAGGGAGAGGGAGAGGTGTCACCTTTAGCATTTGAACCCCCTTTTGAAATGTAAGTCGTAAAGTCTTTCTCAAGTACTACATGGATATCCAATCAGTGCCAATAATTAGTAACAAAATAGGACTATCTACAGACATATGGAATTGTTGAATTATCACAAAAATTCCCAGACAGAAGTCTAAAATATATTTTAGTGTGATCACTAAAATTACTTTTTATAAGAGTTTTCTGGTAAGCAGGCGTATATAATATGTTATTATTTCCAATAATGAAATATGATGTAGAGTTTTTCAACTATAATGAGAAAACAACGATATGACCTTTAAAGGCTCAAATGGATATTGTTTCCCAATGGCTTCAAGCTCTTTCTGACATTTCTCATTCAAACTATCAAACATTGCAACAAATAACCGATCCACAATATCCATCACCTGTAAAAAGAAGCTAGAGCATCTTACTACCACAGAGACAATTGCATTACCAGTTGGTAGTCTTGGCATTTCAAGAAGTGAACAATTCAACTTTACCTCGGAGTAGTGCTCCTTAATTTCCATTTCAACATCAAGACCTGTAAACTCACATAAGTGTCTGTGCGTGTGGGAGTCATCTGCTCTGAAAACAGGACCTATTTCAAAAACTCAACCAAAATCACCACAAATTGCCAGTTGCTTGTGAAGCTGAGGTGACTGTGCCAGACATGCAGGTTGACCTTTGTAGTCCAGCTTAAAAACAGCTGAGCCACCCTCACTAGAGCCTCTTATCTAACTTTGGGGTATGAATCCCAACAAAGCCATCAGCTAGCAAGAACTGCCTGAATATCTGCACAACAGTGAAACTGAATTAAGGACCAAGCCCCGTTCAGCTTGGGAATACTATTGGCAAATATACCTGGTAATTTATTGAACTTCATTCCGAACAGCCCACATGTTTAGTTACACTGATTGTCACACTACCATTTTTTTTTTCGTTCATAAGTAAATACAAACGATATTCAGTCTCATTTTTCATTTCATTTTTTCTAGAACAGGTTCAAACATAAGACACAACCACGCCCCCTTTACCAACTGACCCCATGCCCATTCACCATAACTAATATAAGAACTTTTGAAAATATGACTTCATATATCTTTTTCTTTCCTTCAAGCAATGGCGTATAGTATTCCAAGAAACCACGCACATTATAATTTATAAAAAATGAATGGATACAAATAAAATAGGTAGACTACAAGATGTGGATTTACATTTTCAACTTGGCACTGAACGCGAAATATTCCTTGGTTAGTAGGAGTACGCAGGTCAAGAACCCTGAAATTCAAACGGGTATCCTGATTGACACGAACAAGCTATTTTCCAGCCTGCACTCATAGAGAGACTAGATTAACATAGACCCTTAGAGGGTAAGTACCTAAGTCAAATTTGTCAAATAATACAAAAACACAAAATTTAATGGAAGCTCATCTACAAATGAGTGGGCACACTGTCAACTTTCCAAAGAAGAGATATCTCATGTACATGTAAGAAAAGATATATAAACATACCTGTAAAGCCTTTTCAATTTCAATTTCACCGCGTGCAGCATCCTCAATGTTAATAGGTAAGGCAGGAACTGCCTTGCTGATGCAGTAAAGCTTCTTCACTTGAATTTCCACCTGTGAATCAATAAGCATTGACATCAAAACATGATTGTCAAGTAATTTTCCGTACTTGTAACTTATAAAACGAAACCCAAAATTTTGTCACGAAAAAGCTTGAGACCCTTAAATTTATCCACTGTGATGTGGACAACTCCATGTCAATTGGTTTAAGGACCCTAAGGGAAGTTGTGCATCATCCAACTTTTAATTTGTCACAAACTCAACCATTAATGGCCCAACTCACTTATCATGTCATTGTGGTGAATTGTGGATTCAGAATTGTCAATCTCAAGCATTAATAATCTCAAATCATTCTCAAAATTGACACAGAAATGCAATTATACCTACTGCTGAGAAGCACCTATAATGGGATCCTTAGGAACGGAGATAATCCCTTCGATATCAACATACGAATCTTTGCTCAACCCAGTGGCGAACTTCACCATCTGGAGACTAACTACGTCCGGAGCAACAGAGAGCACGCACTGCATAGTGAATCCCCGCTCTTTTACAACCAAAAACGCCGTCTTCTTGCTTACACTGCGGATCGCATGAGCTCGCCCCCGAATCAGCACGTTCTGGTCGTTCAAATTCGCGATCTCGATCCATTTTCAGCCCGAGACGGCCTTCGACTGGAGGTCCTCGAGTGGGACATCACCGTAGTTGGCGCTGAGGGGGTCAGCGGCGTCCGCGGCGAAGGCTCCAGAGGTAGATTTTTACTCACGGCGGCGCTGCTTCTCCAACTTGGCGGCTTTCTTGCTCTGAGTGGAACCCTCTTCTTGCTCTTGGTGCTGTTGTTGTTGTTCTATTGGAGGGATTTGAGGTTCAGATGACATTGAAATGAATTTGGAGAGATTGTGACTAACTAGGGTTTTGAAAGGTAACTTAACTTTGGGTTTTAAGATGAATGAATAACGAAGTTGGGATGGTATGGCATGGGTGTTTTTCAACCATTGGTTGAAAGTTTATATCCTGCGATGTTGACGTGGGTGTGCTATTTTGAGTTAAATTAAGGCTGTGTTTGGTTATGATACCGATGGACATCTAGGAGGGCCCAACCCACGGATCAAGGCTCAGTCTACATTCCAGTGATCAAAGCCTAATAATTCTGAGAAATCAACACTAGGCTAGGATCAACAACACTCAAACACTTGCCAAACAGAGGCCTAGACACGTAAGCAGACAAAGATCCTACAAAGTTATTGCACCATACATCAGCCATTAATGAAGCTCTCACGGCATTAAATACTACAATCCCTTCACGTCGGAGGAGATAGACTCACCATGAACGATGCGAGCTAGAATATAGACTTTCAGACAACACGGCAGTCCGAAATGGACAAGGAAATGATGAGCATTAAAGATTAAGTTATTCATTTTTTCTCTTTCTCTCTCTACACAGTCAATCTCTCCTATTCCAGCTCGACCGTCGGAGGGTCCGCTGGGGGATTACCTCCCCTTTTGGACCTTTTTTGCAAGAACGTTCTGTGGGCATCAAGACCAGCGAAGCCATTAGAAGTGTGGATCAGATTGACCCATCTTCCATTGGAATTAAGTGCTTCATCAGTTGGCGCCGTTTGTGGGAAATTCCATTTTGAAACGACAGTTATACTCATTGTCGTCGGAAGGAACCCTGTAGTCATCCACTCCCTGCATCAGAGTAGATAGTCACGACTAGATCCATGACTTCCCAACACAACGTTGGTAACCCCAAAGCTAAGCCCTCCAACCCAAACAACCCACCTCCATATTTCGCAGAACTCACCAACAGCATTACCTGACTGACCGAGCAAAACCAAGCCTTGATTAATGCCTTTCTCCAACGTGACCTGCATATCCTGCCTACACCACAGCCAATAGTTCCCCCGCACCTGCATATCTCTTTTATATATTATTTGTAACTCACATCTACTTAAAAGTTTAAGGATAACGCTAAATTTTAGAGGGGTATAACAGGCTATAATACCAATGCAACCAGTCCAATTATGATCTGTAAAATATGTGGCAATTTTGAGGCCAACTAACAGCTCAATCACACACGTGCTTGAAATTGAGACCGCAACTGATGCTACTTGAGTTACTCTGTTATGAGCTAAGGCTTAAGTTGCGACCTTAGCTTGAGTCTGTGCCATTGCTTCTCCTTACTCCTCTTGGATCTTGATATATTATTTGCAAATTCATCTTAGGTACGTACTCCCCATTAATTTTGATTATGGATCTCCAACATCAAGAGTCGATGCTCGAGGAGAGTCTACCCATATATTGTCAGCCATTGGCACCAACATCTATCCATAAAATTAATTTTGATAATGGATTTCCAACATCGAGTCGATGCTCGAGGAGAGTTTACCCATAAATTGTTAGCCATTGGCACCAGTTCCAACCGAGAGAAACTCTAGAGTTCATAAACGCCACATCATCACTCAACATACATTATTTATAACTCATACCCACTTAAAAACTCAAGCTTATAAGCAGAAAGATCATCTAACGGATATTAAGGTCTTGTTTGTCATAACCTAAAAAAGTTAAAAAGTCAAAAAGTCACTATTCTGTTTAAGTCACATCATCTTATCATTAACTTCTGCATTTAAACTATGTTTGGATGGAGAGGTTTGGCGAGAAAAGAAAGAAAACGGAGAGAATCAAGTTTCTCGTTACTTATTTAAATGATTAATGAGATGAGAAATTACAAGAAAGGAAGAGAAATGAAAAAAAAAACACAAATCAAACAAAATTTTAAATTTTATTTCTGACCAAAAGTAATGAGATTTGGTGAGAAATTAAAATTACTCTTTACAAAAAAATTATAATGCCTAAATTATCCCTCTAAATACAAAACAAATAACTGCTATGGTTTCTAAATGACTGATATGATTGTTTAATGACTGGAAGGATATTCATTCTTAACCTCTTTACACAACTGTTATTCACTGGGCTTTAGCTCACTATTTATATATATATATGTAGGTGTCCAGGCACCGGACTGATGCTAGGAGCGTCAGGCTAAGCTCCCATTTTGTCAAAGCCAACAATTGTGCCTCACTTCGAGGTTCCGAGTGCGTTAAAGCCATGGCTGTTTTGGGGTGTTTTAGATTTCCCCTTTTGCCTCTGTTCTGTAATAAATGTTAAGACTTGCACTGTACTGTTATGGTAGGGATTTGGTCTCTAACCTGAATGTCTGTATATGATGTATGTATATACTGTTTTGTTTTTGAATGTGGTTTTGTTTATAAAAGTCTCCTCGCATTTAGATTGTCACAGCTCATTGGACATCTTTTATTTACTGTTTTGGCTTGCGCCAGCCCCTTTACTCTGTATTACTGTCATTACTGTTAAGCAGGCCTTTGGTAATCACGGATTACTGGCCGGTTACGGTGCTAAACCTATAGGGGCGGGTTTGGGTCGTGACATTAGCATATCGCATGAGTATGATTGTTGCCATATCCAGCATATTCACTATGAGGCTAAGTGCTTACATGATAAACTATTTGAATTCCTGTGGATGAAGGCTAATTGCTTGAATTGGGATAAAGTGATTAATGTACATTTGACCCACTTTTTCAAGTGGCACATTCACAAACTCTTTTCAAAAAGCAAACATGAAATCAAGCATTCTAATTCTCGCAAATTAGTCTATACTTGTGTGTATGCGCATCACATAGCAATGCTTGCCTAATAATCGGAACAGGAGCATATATTGTAAATAAAATTTATATCATGATTAGTAGAGGCTGATCTTTGATCGGGCGAGCGGAGGTGCTCAATTTATGACCTTCCCTTCTCGTACCTAAGCTCCTGAGCCGAGACAATCTTGGAGATGATGGACACGTGGCCTTTGGCACGAGTCATGGGTTTCCTAAATTTCTCAAAAAATATTTAGGTGGCGACTCTGTATCTGGCAAAGTAGTCTATTTTTTGCAATTTGATTCAAAATAGATTTTCCAAAAGATTTGTCGGATTTGGACTCTTTGGTGTTTATTTATTTCACATTGCACTTGTGAGATCAGATTCAGAACTGCAGGAGTTCGATACTGTAGGGTTTATATCATCTTCCGAAAGGGGACATGAAAAGTCGAGCTACAGTTTCTGGCGACTCTGCTGGGGACTTAGAGAACTTGACTTAAAATTCATGATGTGAAATTTTATCTACATTTATATGTTCTTTGCATTGTATTGGCATTGGTGCGCTTAAGTCACTGTATTTGCCATCTGTTATTCCTGAACGGTTTGTTGGAGGCTTGCCTAAAAGCTTGCCAAAAGGCTGACCAGTCATGGGCTCTGCCATGATGGAACACAACCCTTGGATCTGGACTATCGTTGTACCATTTGATCCTTATTTCACTTCTCGATGTTAGGTGTGAAAGGTATATTAGTTAGTCTTGCTGAAGTACCTTTCTAACCATTCGGCCTAGTTACATATTGGAAAACCATAGAGACTGTTTGAAACTATGAAAAAATGCTCACCCGAATATAGGATTGCATGAAACTGCTTTGTTTGAATAGTAAACCCTAATTCCTGACGAAACTAGGATAGGGTAACCTTACCCTCTCTTAGGAGTGTTTTGGCTCTCACTTAACTGGTATGTGCTTTACAGTGAAACTGTCAGGAATGTGGCGTATCAGTGTGCAAGTTTGGTATCTTAATTTTGGGGGTAGAAATTCAGTTTTTGGAGTGCAGCCCCTACAACTTTGATTACATATGTGTTGGTAACATCTTAGCTAAGGTGTCCCTCAGTGAAAGGTTATCTTGATATTGAGCTTTCTTTTTGCTTAATTATACTTTTTGCCTAGGTTAGTTTACACAACAGCTTCAGAAAGCTGGATAATCTCCCAAGTAATCTGGGACCTGAGTCAGCAAGGCTTTTTGCAAAGCCAGTTGATCTAGTTCGCGGACATCACATGTTTACCTTTACTCCCAACCGGTTACAAGAAGCACGAAGAGAATTAAGATAGAATTCACGCGATTCAAATTTTTACAGGCAGTCACCCTCATTCAACTCTGTATCCAGTCAGGTTCAGGG